ATGGAGGCCTTTGGCGCCAGCAACTTTGAGGTGAAATCGTTAAAGCTTGGCGAGAATGGCGGTGAGCCCTTCAAGGCGCGCATTTTTATGCCAAAGCTGAAGATCGAGGCCAATTACACCAGCGCCGGCGTCCTGCTGATCATACCCGCCTCCGGCGGTGGCGATTTCCATGCCGTATTCAATGGCGTCACCGCCGATCTCACCGGCAAGACGTCCGCACGCGGCAAGTACTTGCACGTGGACTCGCTCAGCATAGTCCTGGACGTGGACAAGGTCACCATGAGCATCTCGCGCGCTTTCAACAACAATCGTATTCTACGTAAGTAGCATGTGGATGCATCCTTAAAAGCTCGTATTATTCTAAAAATGTTCTATTATACTTTCAGTGGAGGCTACCAATCTCTTCCTGCGCGACAACTCACAAATTGTCCTGGAGGCCATGCAGGCGCAGCTCCAGAAGAAGTTGGCCAACGAATTTGGCAAACTAGCCAATCAGCTGCTCAAGAACGTTCCTATCGACCAGTTCTACGAGAATTAGTCAACCTAGGATAAGGACTCTTATGTTTAAGTTTGGTTTTTAATTAATTGTAAAATACTAGTTATTGCTATGAACAAAGTATTAAACAATTTCCTTGCATACTGTAAACAAAGCATCTGCCTTCTATATTTCCTTTCTTGGCGGTAACTAGGCTGGGTTGCGAAATTTTACAATAAATTCAGCTAAAATACCAGGCGAACAGAAATGTCCAGCAGGTGGATAAGCGATTTAACTGACATGCCTGCAACATCGACTGTTGAGTCAGCTGTTATGGGGCAATTGCAAAATTCAGCTAAAATACCAGGCGAACAGAATGGCACAGAACGTAGACAGCCGATTTTCAATTGAATATGTTAAGCTGCTGTTAACTTATATGCCTGCTACATCGACTGTTAAGTCGGCTGTTAAAGTGCACTTACCAAATTCAGATAAAGTACCAGGCGAACAGAAATGCACAGAACGTTGCCAACTTTTTTTAAAATGAAAAATTATGTTGCATACCCACAAGGTACGAAAATGTTAGGCTGCTGTTGACTTACATTAATGTTAGCTGGGCAGCTGTTAATCAGCAGCCGCTGATAAAAAAAAATCGTAAAACGTAAATATCTCCTCTATTTTTCGGCTGATATCGGAGTGATATACTTCTTTCGACTCGTATACACTAGGGCCTTATGAGTTAGAAATGCAAACGACGAAAGTTCTGTAAGCAGCTGAAAAATACGAAATAAAAGATCTGGCTGGTCGTTTTTAATGTTTCTTTTTATTAAATATGTAGAAGTATTTAGTTTTACAATTGTTCATCTTTAGTTATGTTCGTACACCTATGTACATACGAGTGGCTAATTAGGTTTTCCTTTTCATTTAATTGAATTCGAGTTGTTTTTGGGCGTTGTTGTTGTTGTTGTGGCATTAATGGGGGCATTACAAATAAGTAGAAAGCAATAACCAATCCTAAGTCGTACAGTTCTAGTATTGGTCGAAAGTGCTCCAAATCTGCAGCTGGAGTAAGTGTAAGGATTAATCACTAACTATAAAAAGCTATGCAACATTTAATAAAATGCTAACTAAAAATGTGAAATATATATAAATCTTTAAAAAGAACAATTCGCTAATAGCTAATTTTGCGAAAACGAAGTCATTTGGCCAACAACAAGAAGGTTAATGGCCAAGATGCAAATCCAAAGATGTTAATAAAGTTGATCAAAATGTACCTATTCTTGCCAAATTCCAAATATACCTTTCACTTACCCCCCCAATAGCAAACATATATGCCGTGCACGAGTACTCTGTATATACAATTTTATATATGGGGTTGTGTCGCTGATTTAGCTATTGTTTCTCTACAAGTTTGTTGTCGTAATGCATTGTTATCTCATATTCCTATTTCATATCGAGAATTGCTCATCCAGAACAAGTTTCAAGTAAAAATCTATATAGTTATACATACATTTCATTTCTACAATGGAAAAATTCTACTATTTGAAATTATTTCTTGGGGGTTATTTATTGTTTATTATTTGTTAATTTTTTTTTATGTATATCTTTTTGTTATGCTTTTAGTTATAAATTTGGTTTTTATTAATTTATTTTTTATTTTAGTGAATTTTGATAATTGGTAATTTTGTTAAAATGTTCGGCCTGGAAAAAGTGCAGCTTGCCAAGGCTTATAAAAAAATATGTCCGTTTACTTACTGGCTCATATAAAAGTTGATCATTCTTGGATATATCATTATATGTATGTCATAGACAGCTAGACTGTTTATATAAAAAATGCGCTGTATAAAATGCCTCAAACTTTGCGCTGTCTTTTGCTTTTTTCATCTAGTTTTGGTTTTGTTGGAATGGTTATAGGTTAGTTTTATATATATATAAATATATATTATATATAGTATGCTATCCATTAAATGTATGCCATATTAATATGAATTTTGATTTCAGATTTGTTGTCATCGCAGCCTTCTATTGAAGCCAATTGGTTGGAACTTTAACGTGAAAAACATGAATGCGTTTAAAAATCGTGATAAAACAGAAGAACAATTGGAAGTACCAATCGAATTGTGGAATTAAAACGATTCCATTTCCGCTACATAATAAATGGTGTTCATTTTTTTTTATTTTTTCTCACAATGAAATAAGCATTAAATATAATTTGTAAAATAAACATAAGAGTTGTTGTTTCTTTTTTTTCCATTGTAATGCATAATTAAATCAAATGCTCGAAAGCTCGAATGCTATCCACGAATTTGTTAATTGTTTTTCGATTTTTGTTTTGTTTTTCTTTATATATAGACTCGTACGTAACTTGTGCCGATTGCGCGCTGTTTACAAAACTAAAGGTTCCTCGGTGTGTATGTATGTGTGTCTGTGTGTGTCTGTGTGTGTGTCTGTGTGTGTGTGTGTATGTAACTACAAAATATAATTATTTATGCTTTATAAGTATGTACGTGTATGTATAATATAAATTTATATATATATTTATATGTATAAATTATAGTTCTTACTTGACATCTGCCCTTTAGCGTTTGCCTGTCCGTCCTGCCATGCTCAACTCCTTTTGCTATCATTCTATGCTTTTTACAACAAATTACAAATGGGTTTTCCTTATTTTTTTTCAGTGTATGCTTTAGCTATGTCCTTAGCTTAGTGTACAATCTTTTGCTGTCGAAAAATTTTACAAATTTCTGCTGCTCGCATGTATAGTATATATATATATATATTATATATATATAATGTATATTTCTTTAGGATTTAGTTTAAATATGGTAATATTATTATTCAACGCCAGTTTAGTATGCACTTGTATTCGAGTGGCAAAATAAAATGTACAATTTAAAAAGTTTGTTAGTTTTGCCAGATTTGAAATTTGTTTTTGCATTTTGCGGCCGTGTCGTAGATGCTTTTCAAACTACCAGCAAAATGTTTTTGTATAAAAACCAATTTCAGACAAATCTTTTTACTTTGTGTTCTTTTTTAAACTACGCTTTGCTTAAGTCATAGGTGTTTATTTTGTTTATGCATTTTTATATAAGTTAAGTTACAATTGTTTACATTGGTTTTTTTTGCATTTTATTTGTAATTGATTTTTGTCGGTTTACTCGAAACTGTTTCACATACGTGCAAAATATTTTTACTGTAAAAACTAGCAATATATTTCTATGTATATATATAGAGTATATGTATACACATACACATATTTTTATATTCATGTAGATAGCGCGAGTTGCGTCTTAAATTTCACTGTCCTGCTGGTTCTTCTTCTTCTTTTATCTCTACACACATTTTATTTTACATATACAAATACATCGCATGTAATATGTAAGTATTTAAAATCTGCTTTAACTACAAGTCATAATCGAGTGTAATACATATATAAATATGCACATATATGCTTGCCTGTGTGCATGTGTGTGTGTATGTGTATGTGTCTGTGTTTTATATAAGAGCTTGTCTTAGGCTAACTACTACAGCTATGCAGCTTAACGCGTGTGTATGTGTGTGTGAGTGTGTGTTATACAATGCTTCTTTAACTATGCAGAACTTGAGAATCTAAATACAGAGTTTTTGTTGGATTATGAATTATGTAAATTAAAATTAATCAGTGCATTGCGCTCTGTAGACAGGCAGTTGATTAGTAAATAACTAAAGAATATAAATAATCAAATATACCCAAAAATACACAACTATAATACGAAAATTATTGATGCGCCAACGCTTGAAATGCGCTCGGAGCATATGGTTGAGTCTGAGAGGGTGAGGGTGAATGTGTGTGTGTGTGTGTGTTTGGGAGTGCGTGGTAGAGTGTATGGGTATAGTCTGAAATTTACACAAAATTACATATGCTCAATGCTGGATTTTCATATATATACAAAAACACGAGTTAAAAAAAAATGTGTTAAACAATTTTAGTTTACATTGAAAATTTTGTGTGTTTAAAGAGCAAAACCGACAAAAAAAATAAAGAAGTTTCATAAAATTATGCACAAATTAAGAATTTAAATTCGTTTCTTTCAGTATTGAATAAGGCGTCGAGAAATATTCTAAATGTATATATCCAAATGTACAAAAATTCTGACTTTTTACAACATGTTTGTGTTCTAGTGTTACATACATACAATACAAGCTTGGCAATTTACAAGTGTGTGTGCGTGTTGGTGTGTCGGTGTGTATGTGTGTGTGTAGTAGCACAACGAATGCATTTCAAGCTGCGCAGTTTATATTTCTTTAAAACAAATTAAAATACAATCAAAACACCGAGCGTCAACATGGCTGCTGCCAGTGGCTGCACAACTGTAAGCAGATAGCGAGCAAGCAGTGCAACAGTGTGGAGAACTGCTTGCAGGCACACTGCTTTCCGCACAGCAGCCTCGAGAGCTCAGCATGTGACGAGTTTTTACATAGAGAGAAATATTTATAATAATATAATTATTTATATTCATTATAAGAAAGGTGGGCTAACTAACAATGACTTAAAAGTGGATTTCGAATATATTTGCATTTATGGTATTAATTAATTTGTTATACATTTGTAGGTTCTGGTTGAGAGTGAGTTGCTTGTTAAAAAAATATATCTATATATCTTTGAAAAATCGTTTATAACTAAAAGAAACTTAAAAGAGAAATCATAAATCAGTAATCAGTTAAATCTTAGTTGCTAAACAGAAAAAAGAGTTCGTTTCGACGGCCCGAAGAAGCGCGTTTCTACAATTCTATATATATAAATACAATGCGTGTATATGTGTTGTGTGTGAGTGTGTATGTGTGTGTGGGGGGGCGCTTAAAACGAAATAATTTACAAAATACAAATATGAATGTATATATATATATATAGTATGTATATAGACATATGTATAGAGCATGCTTTAATTGCTACAATGCATGCGTTTTCTTTATATGTATATATATATATATATGTATATGTATGTGAGTGTGTGTCTTCTTTGAATTTGGGTATGTGTGTGTGTGTTTTCTTTAACAATATTTTGTTTTTGTTTACAAGCAATTTACAAACAAATGTTTGATTAAAATTAATGAGAATTTTACAAAACAGTTTTGAATTTTACAAGTGAACAAATTGACAAAAAAATTAATTTAATAATTATTACATTGTTTTACATGGTTTTAGTTTTCGTTTTTAGTTTTTTTTTGTTGGTTGTTTTTTTTTTTTTTGTACAAAATTTTACATAGCGCAAAAGCGACGTGAAATTGTTGCAAAACGCAACGCTAAAGAGTTCATAATTGTGTGTGTGTGGGTGTGCGTGAATGTGTTGGTGTGTGTGTGTGTGCTGCTGGCTTTTATATAACGAAGTTCTTTACACATATTGAATTTGTTTGCTCTTTAGCCTACATGCTACATTTAAGTTGTTCATTATGTTGTATTGTATATATTTTATAATATTTATATATATATATATTTATATGTATATGCTTGAAATGGTTGCAGTTAAATTCTATGCTTACTTTCATCATCTTCTCCTTCAATCTGTTATGTTTCGCAACGGAACGTCACGCGCTTTTGTTTAAATAATCAAATTTACAGTCGACTTGCTTAAACATTTACAAATTATTTTGTTTTTCTCTTATTTTTTTTTTTTCTTGAAAGGTTGTTACATCAAATATGTATGCAGACATGATTTACTTTTGTTTTTCCATTTTCTTTGCTCGAATTTTTCTTTCGATAGCTTTTCTTTTCACACATTTTTTGTGACGCACCATTTACAAATAAAAAAAGTGGATTGCGCAGAATTATTCGCGCACTTGTTGCTCTTATCGAGTTTGTGTTTCTCTCAGTGTATGCTTGTGTGTGTGTCAGTGTGTGTTAGTATTACGCACTTTACAAAAGCGTTTAACGATCATATTCTGTTTTTGTTACAATTGAATATACAATTTATCGATTGCTCCACAAGTTGGAGTCGATCTCCGAGACCCGGTTCTAGGGCTGAATTTAAATCATTTTTGTTTTCTTCTGTGTCTGCAGTTTAGATCTTGTTATAAATAAATTACATTAGATTTATTTGTATTATTATTAGTATTTAATATTATTATGTATATATATTTTTTTATAGTATTTATAGTAAGCATTCGCTTTGCTTTTAATGCTCTCCTCGCATTCCTTCTCCTTCATCCAATTACTAAAAACTAAAATTCGATAACGCGCCTCGCAATTCGCCGCTTTACAACACTCCATTGGCTGTTGTGGGTGGCCCGATGGGTCCGAGCCCGCCGACCACCACTGTGCCGGACGACTCAGAGCTGGCTGGCGATGTGGGCTCGGCCATCGAGATGCCGCCATTCTCCTGCACGGCACAAATGCTGGGTGATCCAACGCTGTTCGTGGTGCTGGTTGTGACAACTGCTGCGCCGGCGGTGGCCACCATCGACGTGGAGGAGGAGGGCGTGCCACTTGCTCCGGTTCCGGCTGCAGCGCCGCTGCTTGCTGTGCTTGTGGCTGCTGTGCTGGCAGCGCTGGCCGTGGCAGCTGCTATGGGATTGGTTATCTTCATGTAGTATTTCTCCAGCTTGGCGTTGATGTGCTTGCCATAGGTGTATTTGCGCAATGCGGCCATGTGGGGTCGTATCTTGGTCATCAGCTTCTTCAGCTGCGTCGGCTCCGAGACGTCAATCATCTTCTGCACCACATAGTTGGCATACTGGTCCTTCATCATGACGTGCAAGGCACTGCAGAAAGAGTGTTGGCATTCCAATTGACTGATAGGGTATTCTGTTTCGGATACTCACTTGTCATTGAACGTGCACACCTCATCGATGAGGCCAGTGCGCTCTCCGCGCGTTGCATGTGTCACACACTTCTCCACCACATTCGAGGCGAACTTGTGCTGCGATAACACGAGCACCTTGCCGCGCACACTGTTAATCAGTATCGATTTGTCCTCCTGTTTGCCGTGCTCTACAATAGACATGAGAATGGGGATCATTAATACCATCTACATTTAAAACTAAGCCAAGAAATGCAGTCGAGACCTATATAACATGGACCTATCTTAAACATATATCAGCCACAATATAATATTGTTTACAATTTGATCTCACGGTTTTTAGTTCTTAGTTTTTTTCTTTTGAAATTTAATATGCTGTCCTATAAGTCGAAAACATTAATACTAACGAAGTTCGATCTGTTTGAGTAAGCAACATGTTCGAGTTGCAACTGCATATCGAACGGTTCCAGCCGAACACATTTGAGTATCAACCAGCAGGAACGGAGTAATTGTTAGAGTATAAGAAACGGAGCCTATTCCGTAATGGTTGGATCCTTAATTCTCTAATTCTTAATTCTCTATCAAAATTTTGATTACTTAAATAAATAATACAAATGTCATCATTTGTTTGTTTTGACTTCGCTGAACTCACCTAGAACATGTTGTATGACGTAGTTGCCATATTGGTCTTGGATTAAGTTCTCGGTATGCTCGTGCAGTTCATCCAAAATGGGCTGGGTCTGCTCGGCGGTGCAGTGCTCGAGGATGCGTTGAATGACCCGGCAGCCATAGGGATGTGTGCTCAGTGAATAGACCTGACCCTTGAACGCATTGATGACAAACTGCAGGGCAACGGGGTCGACGCATTCGATGCATTTCTGTACGACATGGTTGCCATTCTGGTCCTTAACACACTTCAAAACATGTCCATCCAGCTCGTGAACGATCTCCTGTTGCTGCTCGGGCGAGATGCTCTCGAGCGCTTTCTGGATCACGCGACAGCCGTACATCTGGAGCGCCAGCTGCAGCACATGACCCTTGACCTGCATGCCCAGCGTGTTCTTTTGCTCCGGAGTACCGAACTCAAAGAACTTCTGTATGACATAGTTGCCAAAGACGTCCGTCATCAGGCTGTAGGCGGCGCCCAGTATCTCATTGAAGACCATCTGCTTCTCGGCGGCTGTGGCCCGTTCCAGTTTCTGTTGGATGAACCGCGAGCCGTGCTGATCCTGCGAGAACTCAACAATGTGATTGGTTAGATCGCGCAGCTGCAAGTTCGGATAGCGCTGATTCCTGAAATCCTCCAGCAGTCGCGATCTGCCCGGCTGTGGTGCACCGGCTGCGCCGGCAGCGGCAGCTGCCACAGCAGCTGCGGCGGCCGCCTGCCGCGAATTCGCCACGGCAGCGGCCACGGCCGCGGGCGTGCTGCCCGGCAGGGCCAGGTGATTCGAGAATAGCGAACTGTTCGAGCCAAACATATTGTTGGCCGCGGCCGCAACGGCCGCTGCCGCCGTAGCTGCCGGCAGACCCACCGCCAGCTGCTGGCGCTGGCGCGACTCGGCGCCGGGCGCCCGATTGCCGCCCATCAGGCACGACTGAGCCGTCGGCGGCGGTGTCAGCGGTGCGCCCAACGGACTGGCCGATGCATTTACCGCTGCCGCGCCCAGAGCTCCATACGCGCTCGCATTGGACATGGCGCCGGGCCACTTGGCGCGTGCTGCGGCCGCAGCAGCTGCTGCAGCGGCCTGGGCCACGCTACTGTTGACCGCATTCGCAGCGGCGGCGGCGGCGACGCTGCTTGTGGTGTAGTCCATGGCCGAGGGGCTGAAGGCGGATGTGCTGCGATCGAACGAGTCGCGACGACCGCTCAGCGAGTTTGTGTTCAATGCCAGGCCTGTTTAGAAGAGAAGCAGAAGAGAGGGAAAGACTTAAATACTGTGTAGAATATGTAAAGCAGATAGATAAAGAGAAAGTAATACAAGAGAGGAGAGAAAGAGGCTAGAGCTGGAGAGGATCTCAGTATTAAGGCTATAAGATTAGGTTCAAGCATGGAATTTATATATTTAAGCTTAACTCTGAACCAAAAGCAGATATTAAATTATACTCTATACAAAATGGATGTTCGCTGTTCATTTATAATATGTGAAATAGTCACCCAGATATATTTCAGTGTTGTAATATGTTGAAGCCCCGCCAACAGCTAAACTATTACTATCCTGTTCCTATATTAAACAACCACTAAAAAAGGCAATTGCAATGGATGGCATCAAAGCCAACGCATTTATCCAACAGCTTGTCCATTCAAAGTCTCAATTTACTAGCTGAGCAAATTCAAGTGGGTTACGAGAAAGCGACAGAGACATATATTTTACATAGAAACAGAAAGAGAGAGAACGACTTATGGCAGAGTATGCGCTATTTTGTAATTAATCGAGTTACGGCGTTCAGCTGAGGGACAGGCTAGTGTAGGGCGCTCGTAAACTTAATTGCCTACTTTTAGGGCGCAGCTGTGGCCTCTTAGTTTCAGTTTGATGCGGCTCAGTAACGAGAGAGAGGGAGAGATAGAGCTGCCCACTTACATGCTTAACTAGCGGGGAATAAGTGTAGTACTCGTAATGTCAACCATTAAGGAAGCACATATGCGCTCCAAGAGTCACATAGCAAAGCTCTAGGGATATGTAAAAGGATACTGAGAAAAGTAGGGAGGGAGACGCATGGCAAACGCTTTAAGCTCATATAACAACAGAAGCAATAGTAGAGGGTGGCAGTGGGACTTGCCGTGCTGTCGACTTGATGGATGCTGTAATATGTCACTGGCATTGATTTCCAGAGCAGAGGCGTAGAGCTAGAGGGAATGCCCAGGGGCAGAATTTATAGGCTGAGTGAAGTGAAAAAAAGTAAAAGTTTGCGCCTGCCAGAATGCAATCCCGTTTACACCCGACAACTTACAACTTGAGCCGCGACGCAGGCAACTTGCGTCCTAATGAATTCATTGCCTCTCGTCTGTTGCAGATGCCCCAAAAAGTATGCAGCAGTAAATGCTTGCGGCAAGCCATGCAACACGCAACTTTGCCAGGCGGCAACTGCGCAAATTAATTGCGCAAATTTCTATATTTTTCCCTTGACGTGGGCTTCAAAAGTTCCATAAAAATAGCAAACGGCAGCAATTGCCACCTCCTAATGAGAGGCATACGTATATATACATATATATATATATATATACATATATATATATATATTTAGCTATAAAGTTTAGCAAGTTTCGCAGTCTAAACGAAGCGCTAGAGAATTACAAAGATTATATCTCAAATGGCGTGAAAATTGCTTAAGTTTAAGAACTTGCGCTATAAAGAGTTAATCAAGCGGATATTAGAAGCTAGAAATATAATTATGTTCGTTTAACAGTATTTCCTAGCTAATTCAGTGTTGGAGAAGGTCGTAGACGTGAATTAAGTACTATAAAATGTTGTAAGTTGTGCTCATTAAAGCAAAGGTTCTATTTGTGTAAAGATTAAAATGCTGTCAGTTTAATGTAGTGTTGTAAATATATTAGTAATCGTCTCATTTTTCTTTGTGCTTCTCTTTATTTCAATACAAAATTCTAATTGCAACAACAAGAAACGAGAGTAGGAAATGTAAATTCCATAGTGTTGTCATGCAGCCAATGTTGTAAAATACAATTCTAAATAAACGACATCACCATTTGAGCGAACCGCCGACGCGTCTGGCACAAACTTTTAATTTCTGCATTTAAATTGCAACTAATTTGGCGCACTTCAGAGACGCGACTGCTAAATTCCATTTCAAATGCAGGCAATGAACATGACTAGGCAGCATACAGGGGAGGGGGGTTGGTTAAAAGGCGGGTTGGAATGGATTATGTAGTACAAACAATTTGCGTCAATGAAAGTGTCGAGTGGGCGGCCAGCAAAAGAGTCTGAACTAGGCAAGAGGTGGATGCTGGAATGAACACCTCTTTGGGTTTGGATGTTTGCCAGTCTCTGTTTATTTTATTTGCTCTGCCCCTGCCACGCCCCCCCACCCGCTGCACAGCATTCAGCGTGCTGCGTGGCAGTTGCAACAATTTAAAAGGGAATTATTCATGCAATTTGCGTGCAGAGAGAGTGCGATGGAAGAGGCAAAGACAGGCAAGTCGACTATCGGCAGTCGAAAACAGTCGTCATAATTAAGAGCGGCAACTACCTATCTTCTACAGTCGCTCCCCCCTTGGACCACAGTCCCAGCATCTAATGCTTCGGGCTATGTCTGACACGGCTCGCTGCCTTCCGCACGCCCACACTTACACACTCCCCCATCTGTCTATCCCTCTGGTGGGTTGCCTTTGCAAGGACACTTTGCCAAATGAAACTGCAGCATGCCACAACACACTCACGCCCCATACACACCGCCCCACACACACACACACACACACACACATGTGTTGGGGGGCATTAAAAAGACGGTCCCGTTTATTGCAGGCGACATTTTGTGGTTTATGCACACGTTCCACATGTGAGCAGAGACAGATGCCACCTCATAGACACGCCCACATCCACCAGATGCCGCTGCTCAGCCTAATGTAATCATTTTATGAATTATAAATGCACACACGTGTGCCGACGCACACACTCACACATAGAGGCACTCAAAAAAAGAAAACGCATTAAATAAAATGTCTTGAGTTATTTAAATGCCCGGAAACTATTGCAAGTGCGGACGACTGAGGAGCTGGCTGAGTTTGTAAACGTCCTGAAGTAGGCTATGAAAAAAGACACAAAACAGTGTTGCGCGCGAGCTATACAAAAATGTAATTAGTGTTGGAAATGAGCGCATAAAAATTGCAACAATTTACAACAGTTTGACAGCTACTCGAACGACATCTTTGTATCCCACAGAGTTCGAACAATGGAACTAAGAGTGTCCTCCACATACATCTATATAAATATAAGTAACTACGGAACACCTTCTCTAGGGAGCGGATGTACAGCTCACATATTGCAGTAGAAGGCCTTAATTCGATCTTTTTGAAGCTGACTTTTGGTCATCTATTTGTAGTGCTCTATTAATGCATATTCAAACGAGCGGAAAGAAAGTTGCTGATTTAAATCTAAATCTAGCTAGCTAAATCTCTTTAATATTTTCATCTTGTATCCTCGGCAAAGTTTAACTGACTGAAGTTTAAACGAGCACAAGGAAAGTTGCTGGTTCGAATTGTCGGCTAGTGCAGTAACTAATTGCTGCTTTGTTATCTCTTATATGTATCTCTCACATCTATTTCTCTTTTACATTTTCATCTTTTAGCCTCGGCTAAGTTTAACCGACTTAAGTGTGCCACACGTGCGTCACACCCCCTTTTCTAGCCGCCCCCGACGCCCTCCAACTGTGTACAATTCTGTGGCGCCTGACAATCAGTCAAAAATCAATTAAGTGCATTTGTCATTGCGTTCGTCTTGACATGCATTCGATCCCAGTCCCAGTCCAGTTCGAGCCCAGACCCAGCTGATTGCGAATTGTAGCTCAGCGTGTGTATCGAGCCGCTGCTCACACAGCACACACACACAGCAAACAGCACACGTATCACAAACACACACACTCTTGCACACACATGCTGCAGCACAACTCAATTGCAATTAGCACTAAGGCAAGTGACTACTCGCTTCTCAATTTGATAGCCTCCTCTTCTCCCTGCCCCCACAGCATCCTCTTACGAAATGGCAGGCTCGTTTGCTGGGTAACCACACGGCCCCGCTCTTCGCCTTGTACCCCGCACATATCCTTCACTCATTAGCGTAGTGCTGCAATCGATGCGCCAAGACAGCAATTGTAAGCCTCATAGCCAAGTCACGAGTCACAGGCAAAGATACGAGCATGGGTTTGGCATTCGCCCCCCCCCCCTCCCACCCTACCGCAAGCCACCCCCTCCCAACACACACACAAACACCCTTAAGACCTAAAGCCTCGTTCCGCTGCCTCGACTCCTAGCCTGCGTGCAATGTCAAAAAGCTTTTTAATGGAGATTATATTGTTTTAAGTGGCTGCGCAGCGGCTCTCCGCCCAGTCCAACCCCTTTGCCCAGCTTGGCAGTCACCCTCTTGAGCCTGAGCCCAGACAAACTGCAATTACAAACGTTAATGCGCACACACATGATGGAGCGGAGGGGATAGAAGCTTGACTTTGCAACCGCCAAACCATTTGGCCGTGCCTTGCAACAATGAGGAGGGAGTTGTCGGAAGGGCTTTCCCGAGCTGACTTTGGGTTCGCCTTTGCCTCTTTGCATTTGCCTGGCATCCTGGCCATGCCCACAAATTATTATGTACACCTTTCACATGTTGGCAACATGTGATTGCATTTGGGGGAAAGTGAAAGCCAGCAACAAAAACAACAACAACAATAACAAAAGAGACAAAGCCAATGCCAAAACCACTTTACGTAAACTCTCGCTTGCATGCTCCTTCCCGCTCTCCGCCTACCCTCCCTCCCTCTCTTTTACCCACTCTCCTGTGTTGCATAGGACGCACATTGGTGCAGCTGGTGTTGTTGTTATTGTTATCCTGGCTGCTGCTGGCTTTTGTGCAAATGAATTCGTTTATTTTGTAAAATGTCAATTGCTGTTGGGCCACAGACGAGCTGCAGCAGCATCTGGAATTGCGTAGAGCGCGGGTGGTCGAGAAGGAGGGAGCGAGGAGCAAGGCAGCAATGGCAGCTTGTGAATGATTTTGTGCCATACGCAGCAGCAGCAGCAGCAGCAGCAGCAACAGCAGCAACTTGTTTGACACTTGCCGCAAAGGCGAACAGCTACTGTATTTGGCAGTGCGATAGGTAGGGAGAGAGACAGAGGGAGGGGTAGTCTAGGCAAGTGCTGCACTTTGCGTTTAATGAAATTCCCAATGACGTGTACAACATGGCGTATGCGTAACGCTGTTATGTAAGTGACACGCTCCTAACACAATTGGATGACACAAGCATTAGTTTAAGTAAATGCAATTTAGCAGAGTATTATAAATAATAAAGCATGCAGATCAGCTAAATATATAGGAAAATAGTTAGTCTCAAATGAATGGTGATCAACGCAAAGCCCAAAAAAAGGAATACTGGGAAGCTAAAGCTTAAACAGAAGCTACGCCTCTGATCTGAAACTGGGCACTAAGAAGACATGGAATAGTTGAAAAATGGGCGTCAAAGTTTATACGAAAACCATCAACAAAACTGTTATCAATTGCCTGCGCGACTTAAAAATTCTTAAATTTGGACTAGCAAGCTAAAAGTTGGTGGTTCAAACTTCACACATTTTTAATTGTTATATTTGTTTGTTTAATTTGCGTTTACTGATTATAGATGATCGCAGGGTATTCTTTGAGTATGTATATGGTTGAGATTTACTTAGCTGCAAGCCAAGATTTAGAAGGGGAATTTCTCTAAGTTACCAAGAGACCAATTATTAGAGACAGGAGCAACAAAATATTATTATTTATAAATTACCTAAAACCACTACAGGTCGCACAACTATATTTCAATGCCTATTCATCTCGACCAAGTTTATATGCATATACTGGATGACAAAAATTATAATGCCCATTTGCCTGCATATTACAGGGTATATCGCATGCATAATAAGTGAGAATTGTAGTCATACGTCAAGGGAGATGCGTCAGCGAAACACGTAAGCGCAAAAAAGAAGAACATTTCGAGAAAAAATGAGGAAAATTCCTCATTAAACGTCCTGCATGAAGGAAAATTAATTAACGAAATAATGCGAAAGTTGAGCCATTAACTGGTTAAGTGAATTAACGATGGAAAATGTCGAAAATGTGTTTGCGGCAAACGGGGAATTGAGAAATGGAAATTGAAATTCAAAATGGAGTTTTAATTTTCGCCCGTTCATTAAGCAGCATTCCGCGTGGCCAAATTGATTTCTCCTTCGACTCGTAACGCGCTCGCTTCGCTCGTAGCCAATAATTCAATAAACGCTTAAATGCCGCAACTCTCAAGTTTGTGCAACACATATATCGTCGAGCTGAATTTTCGGGCGCCACAATGCCGGGTAACATTATCCGGCTGAGTAAAAACTATTTTACAGCTGGAAAATTATAACTTTTCATTGCCTTCGCCGCGCAACATTTTCAGCAGCTTTGGTATAATAGAAAATGCCAGGGGAGAGTCGGAACGAGGTTGTGGTTAATTACAGCGCCTGCAGACAGTCACAAAATGGTTTGCTTAAAAGCAATAGGGGTGGTGGGTGTTGGGTGGGGGGTGGGGGGTGACGGGTGTCTATGACTTTACAAGTAAACTCCTGCGAAAGTGTAAACTTTCATTGCCTGGCTGCCGTTATTAATTATAATTTGAAATTCTATAAATTTACAACAATTGCCAGCAACAGCAGCAACAACAACAAAAACAACAAACACAAATACAGCTTTTTGCAGAGGCCGTCAACTTTTTGCGTTGCCAAGTTTCGAGCTTCTGGTTACCAAGCCACACCCCCTCCCGCCCAACAACAACAGACCCAATTCCTTTAGCTCATATTGCAAATGTTATTTTTGAGCACAAAAACTAAACGGAAAATACACTCAACACTTCACACACACACACACACACGGACACGAATTCAGACACACACACGCACACTCACACATATATATATATATTTATATATATATGCATGCAAGAGTGTTGCGTTTATGCGCTGTTAGATTACATGAATTCGGAATACATAAACAAAGTTACTTCCAAAAAATAGCAAGATTACGCGTTAGTTTAAAGTGCTCGATTGGGGTGATACCCTGCACCCTAACTGGACTAGCTTGACTGGCTTGATTTTAAAAGGTTAGAAGAGAGAGGGGAGAGGGAGTGCACATATCGATAAACGACAACAATATGCAAAATGGGATTTGTTTAATTGTGCAATCAGCCTAAACACAATATTCGCCCGCATAAACGAATGTTTTGTATAATTTGTAAAGTAAAAATGTTCTTTTTTGGCGCTTTACGGTCAAGTCGTGCATGATTCAGTTGAGGGCTGACAGAGTTTGTTGCATGGCAAGGATAACACAAATGTTGTTGCAGCTCCAGTTGTTGTTTTTGTTGTTGCAGCATTTGTGCAATAATAACATTTTGCGTGCTTGCATGCAATTGCTTTCAGTCTGTTTTCTTTTTCTGTTATTGTTTTTGCCTTCACTTTTTTTTTTTTTTTAGTGTGCATTAGATATTTATGAAAAGCAAGAAAATCTACTGACAAAACCAGTTGGCGTTTCGCTAATTTGGCCTGTTCTTCATGCCCTGTAAAGCAGGCGATACTAAAGCTTGTAGGTATGCGGATCATTAATTACAGTTAAGTAGTGCTTAGGATAGGTGAAAGGTACTATAAATAGTCAGGCCAAGTATACGTATTAACAATTAATTATCAATTAATTTGAATAGATTAGTCCGAGATTCGAACGGGAATGTTTCACTTTAATAGCATTTAATATTTAAATATAAAATAATTGTTTTATAGTGTTGTAAAGTGCTCTTAAAAGCTCACGCCTCTGAGCCGTTTCTTAAGATTTACCCCAAAACCCTTTACAATATAATTTTATAAACTAGACAATCGAAAGAGTTATCCTCTCTATCCTTAACCCTTTTTTCACTTTATCAGTTTTCTTGCAACACAACTAATATGCCTCCCATTATTAAGTGTAGCGCACACGAAGACACGCAAAATAATAGAAATGAAATTTGAAATTTTAAATTGCATTATATTGTTATGGCATGAATAATATGCTGACAAGTTGTAATAGCGCCCCAAGCCAGAAATGCGTCAAGTGAAAGTCTAGCTCAACGTTCCGTTATAATTGCTATATACATATAAATAAAATATAGTATGTATATTGGATGGGTTGGTGTTTTCTTTATATGTATATCTACTGTACTCGGCGAGCTGTGGCTTATGTTATCGAATATTAGATAGTTAAATGGCCAGAGACCAGTGTGGGTTAATGCCTAGATATACATATCTATTTAAATTTATATATACATAACATTTACAAATGGGGCCTTTGTGAGTTGGATTTGGATCTGAGTTGGATGGATAATGGCTTACCTCCGACACTGGAACCGTTCTGCTGTGAGTAGAGATTCTGTTGGGCCGTCTGTGGCTGTGGTTGATACAGTTGTGGCCCCTGGGGCGGCGGCGGACCGGCACGTGCTGCGCCCGGTGGCACCGCCAGTACGGGGGCGGGGCTGACCAGACGCATGGGCGTGCCGGTGCGTGGTCCCATCACAAGCGAGCCGCTCTGATCGAAGAAGGCCGGTATGACCTTGAGGAGTTCAACGATTTCGATTTTTATACAGTTTTTTTTACAGGGTTAGCATTTGATTTTTTTGGTTTTTGTATTTTGAGGTTATGAAGCATTTGTTTTTGATGTAGAAAAAGAAAAGAAGAGAGAAAAATACGTTTTAGGTCAAGTCGTAGGTTAACTATACAAATATATTTATATATGGATATGTAAATGTAAATGTATTTATATATATATATATATATTGAACGTAAAATGCGTTAAATGTGTGCAAACAATTTACACGGAATTTTACAATTTCCCCCCCCCCCCCCCCCCTGCCACATATATATGTACAATTGATGTCTGCATTTAAGCCCCTGCCCCGAATTGTGTGGCTCACCTGATACGGCTGATTCTCGGCGCCCTGCTGCGAGGGCGTCAGGGGACGGCGGGGCTGTGTGCCCTGCTGTGGTATCAGATTCGGATACATGCCCCACGGTGCGGCAACGCCATAATATGGGGCCATTTGAGCGGCAGAAATCATGCTCAGATACGGCGTCGCCTCCTGTCCGGGATTGATGACATACGGGGCCGCCTGCTGTGCTGCATATGCCGCATTCTGTTGCGCCTGTTGGGCGGCCAAAAACTGTTGCGACGCAGCCGCCATTTGCATCTGTTGCTGCTGCTGTTGCTGCGAGGCCTGCATTGAGCCATTGGGTGCGCCAGGTGGTGCTCCGCCGGCTGCGGCCGCTGCACTTGCTGCCGATGTGGCCGCAGCGGCCGCAGCAGCTAGACCCGGATTCTGTGAGCGAAAAAGTTGCTGCAAGCGAGAGATAGAGCGGGATAGAGTAAGAGAGATTGATATTATTAGTTAATCGGTCTAGTCTTTTGTAAGAGATGTTTATTTAATTGGGGTAATGCTGTAAGTACTAAAAAATGCAAAGAAAGACATCTTCGATTCCAAATTTATATGTGTAATAAAAATATATATTTTATCAGTGTAAGCAATGTCAAGGAAGAGATCTTCAATTCCAAATGTATTTTATATTTTATATAAAAAATGTTATATATAATAAAACTAGATTTTTAATCAGTGTAAACAATTGCATTATTGACTTTCGGTTTTGAATCTGCACCAGCTGCAATTCATTTCAAATTATATTTGAGTTATCTTTAAGCTGTTTTTTAGTCTAGTTGCACTTAATTAACTTTCAGAGTTTATGTTTGAGTTCCCCTGAGTAGCAATTGCTTCACTTCTGAAACTAGTTCATTAACTTTAATTAAATTTCCTTGGTCACTTTCAGGCAACCTGCAATAAAAGTCTGAAAAATGTCTCACATTTTCCGACTTTTCATGACAACTTAAAGATTCGAGTTGTATCTTCTTTCAGTTGTCCTTGTGCTACGAGTCATGTAATCTTTTCAAACGCTGTTTTCACCCACATACAGAGTCCCCCAATGCCAATTGGGTTTATTTTCCAAGCGAATCTGTGTCGCATAATAAGATGACGCAACAGTCGTGTCATATTGCATTTTCTCGTATATATGTCTAACAGGTCCTTTAATAACCAAGCCGTTGCGAGGCAGCCGCTGTTCGTGTTGTTCTAGCAGTGGAAACATGATCAAGTGTTCTCAATTGGAAAATTAAATCAAATCCAATCAAATCAGCATGTGATATCCACTCGCAGCTCACACTGGGGAAGCAGGAAAAACAGAATACCTTTATATGCCGAGTGTGCAGGAAAAGTTGGGCAGAGGGGAAAAAAAACAACAACATGGCAACGCATGAGTGAATGCTTTTCTCTTTTTTTTCACTCTTTTTATCATGCAATATCTGCTGCAGTGTTGTCATATCATTGCCAACAAGACCCACTCGTAGCTCGAGAAGAGGCATAGAAATAGCTGTGCGTAAAAGGTGGAAAAAAGTGTGGCACTTGTGTGAGTGTGTGCCTGTGTGTGTGTGTGACTTACAGCGTGGTTTTCAGTTGCTTTAAGTGGCGCAATTTAAAATTGGGGCAGCAGTTGCAACTAATGAAAAGCCACTTGACAAGCTAGCATGCCCAATTGCAGACGGCACTTGAAATCGAAAAAAATATCGAAACTCTTTGTGCAACAAAACTGTGATGGCAAAGCGCTTTAAATAGCTCCAAAGCGTAGACTGTACCTAAAAAAAAGAAGAAGCAGTTAAGCTTTAGCAGGCCAAGAGCTACTTGAACTAAGGCATTCAAGGGACTCGGTACAAGAGATGTGTAAAACTAATTTGGTTTAAAAATTCATAAGCTCAATTTTAACGTTTGGCCGTTTGGCATTGCAACTACCTTTTGATGTGTTCGGCCGTAACCTCACAAAGTGCCTTTTTTTTTGTTTTAGTATCTTCCATTGGGGAGTTCTCTGTCAATTGCGAGTATTGAAGTAAAACAAAAGTACACAGAGTGTGGCAACAATTTGTTTTAGGCAACAGAAGTGGGAAGCAGCTGCTGTGGGCAGCAGCGAAATGAGCAATCAGAAGCGGGAGAAACGAGGAATCGATGTGAATTATTGATGAATGGCGCAGTGGCAGTCGCAGAATAAAAACGGAAACGAAACTGAAATAATAATACACAGGCACACACTCGCAACATATGAACATACAGACACACACGCACACTTGAGCACGCAGCGATAAAAAGGCAAATATCATGCTGCATACTTTGAGGCGCGTGATGCGAAACTCTCCTTCCTGGCATAAAATAATAATCAGCCAGCAAATAAACGCTGAAATCTGAACCTTGCCTCGTCCGCTACCCTACCCCTCCCCTCATTCTTCCGCACACGCCAGCACTTTGACGCCGTTATTAAAAGCGAAATTGCAAATACACGACAAAAACAAAAGGAAGAAAAAGCAAAGAGGAAGATATTCACAAGGAAAAGTCAAGAAAAATTATTATAAAATTTCAGGGGAATTGTTTTTGATTCTAGGGTTGCCAAGTTACGCAAGCTGGCAGCACTCTGGCAACGCCATCTGTAGCTCGCTCTGGCACAGTGTGACCAGTTACACAATCTCTGATTATGTGCAGCACTGTCTACAGTCCTTTCATCCCAACCCTCTCTCTCTCCCTCCCTTTTTCTTTCTCTCTCTGTCCCTCTCTCTTGCTCTTGTGATTTATGCAAATGGTCGTCCAGTGTGTAATTTACAATGCACAAGCACATCACAAAACGCATCAACTTTATCGGGTTGCGAGCGCATTATGTGGCCTATATATTAGTAAAGCCATACAGTGTCGCCCATATAATTAGGCATACTTCTGTTTTCATCAAGCCCCGCATAATGATAAAATTAATTTTTTATATTGTATAAAGGTAATATATAAATATATATCAATATTTAGGATACTTTTTATTGAAGACAATATCTAATTACATGGCCAGCACTGTAGCACAAAACAGCGATACTTCATTATTCATCAGTTGATTTATATTTATATAGTTGAAGCGTGTCCCTGTTTGGTTAGTTAGCTTTTGCGCACTGAAAGTGCTGTTAATTCTGGCCAGAGAAGTATCAACAAGTTTCTCGCTGCTCGTTTGCGTGGCTTTTGCTTTGCATGCCCTTGTAATTTGTGAGCGAACCCCTCCTGCTACCTGCCTCTGGGCTGGACATTTTTTTCTTTCTATATTTTTTATTTCATTTCATTTGCGCATTACATTACATTTGCCCAGGTCCCGACTTAATAAGCTCCCAGGTGTACAATTTTGAGCGAGTCGCTCGACTCGTAATGGAAATTATAGCTGATGTCATACACAGGGGAAACAATTCCACCCGCCCGCACGCCTCCTCGCTGTGTTGAGTGAAAGTGAGTCAACTACCCGCAGCCTGCCACGCCCACTGCAACCCTTAGCATTTGCTACCCGCGTTTACTTGTTGCAAGTGGGTCGTCGCATAACAACAACAACAAACAACTTTGGAGTCTCTTAATGTTGTTTTTCCACTATTTGCCTGAGTGGATTAGTTTAAGTTGTTGTTGTTGTCCGAGGAGCAGCAGGTGGCGTTTGCCCAACTGCTAGTTGATTTATAATTATGGCACAGGGAGAGCACGACTACAATGAAAACAACTCCAACTTGAATAACTAGCTACAACTACAAATGCGATTTCCATTGCCATTTCCATTTCCATTTCCCTTTCAAGTTTCAAGTGTGCTACAAAAAGTTCTTGCGCCGCATTTCATTGCATTCCTCCTTTTGGCTAATTGACACAGTTCTTATGCGTATTTAAATTTGAATGTCAGTTCGAGATTATATTTTAATTACGCTTATTAAATCTTTGTTGCTTGACTGATTGAATTTGAGTACTTCAGAGTTTTCAATTAACATCAATCGATGTGTACCCTGTAAATAACATAAATGTGAGCGTGTTTGAACTAGGCACAACGGAGCGAGAAGCGGGTTTCGGCGAGAAGTTAGGAACCGCCTTTCGCCTTATTCTTTCCAGTTAAGCTTACTTCATAATACTTTTGAACAAATTTAAAACTAATTGAAATGTGAGTTAATAAAAGCCTTAACATAATTTCGACCAATTTAGAGACACACACTCACACACATAGCCTCACTTGAATCGAACGAAATGCTGTCAGCGCAATTTGTGAACCATTTTGGGTTCAGGGATTGACAACACACGAAATTTTTTATTTAACAATATAAAAAATATGCTTCAACAAATTGCGTGATTTTTCGGTTGTTCGCTGCAGGTGTGCCATATGTCATTGTACATGGGGGCGTGGCATGGGAAATTTAATTGAATTTCTGGCACAAAGTAATGCAATCAGCTGCGTCAAACGTTGCCTGAAATACGTCCTCTCTGCGCCCCTCTCTCTTACTGCGTGGGTAGTTGTGGCATTTAAAAAGCTATTCTAGCGAAATAAAACACACATGTACCCAAAGAGTGAGAGCGGGGGAGGGCGTGGCAGTAAGTGGGAGAACGTGCCAGCTAATTGACTTTCTAATAGTTTAACAAATAGTTTGCTGTGAGAATTTGCTGAGAGTCATGTCGAGACAATCGAAAGTTTTTTTAAGCGGCGCGCACACAAATCTTAGCGCAGAAAAGTTTTTCCCAACTTGCCTTCAAATTTTTTTTGGCGCCAACTTCTTGCCTAACTCCTCCCCCCGCCCCGCACCACACTTGTAACTTGTCTGTTACGGCAAATAGTTTTAATGGGCGGCGGTTTTTAACGGCAACTTTGTCCGGAATCTGCGTGAAGACACAGTCCAATTAGTCAGAGAGAAGGGGGGAGTTACGTGTAGAGCCTTCTCTCTCTCTCTCTCTCTCTCTCTCTGCGACTGGGCAATTTGCAAGCCAATTAAATTTGACTGCTTTTTGGCGCGCAATGTTTTTGTGTACAAAAACACTTTTAAGCTGTGCCACGCCTACCATACAACGCCCACCGCCCAACCCCAACTGAATATTGCGCGTTACTTTGTAATTTCGTGATTGCGCATTTATGGCTTCATTTTGAGCACTTTTATGTGCCGCCCGCCCTGACTCACATCAGGAGGGGCAGTCTTTTTTCTGCTCTTTTGCAAGCAGAGGAGGTGGACGGCATCCAAGGGGGAACAGCAGCTTTTCCGGGTAATTTGCAGCGTCCTTTGAACCTGCGCTTATCGGACTCTCAGCTCAGACCCACAGCGTTGGCAATATTTTACTTAAATGTCCTGTTCATGTAAATGTTGTGGTTCCTCCTCTCTTCCCCTCACTCTCGCACTCGCTCTCTCTCTCTATCTCATTGTGACTTGTCTGTCTTGCCTTGACTGTCTACCTGCCTTCCTACTTTAATTTCTATAGTCCATATA